CCTACTGTTCCTCTGGTCCTCTGTACCCACTGTTCCTCTGGTCCTGTCCACCCACTGTTCCTCTGGTCCTTTGTGCCCACTGTTCCTCTGGTCCTCTTTACCTACTGTTCCTCTGGTCCTCTGTACCCACTGTTCCTCTGGTCCTCTGTCCCTACTGTTCCTCTGGTCCTCTGTACCCACTGTTCATCTGGTCCTTTGTACCCACTGTTCCTCTGGTCCTCTGTACCCACTGTTCGTCTGGTCCTCTGTACCCACTATTCCTCTGGTCCTCTGTACCCACTGTTCTTTTGGTCCTTTGTACTCAGTGTTCCTCTGGTCCTCTGTACCCACTGTTCCTCTGGTCCTCTATACCCACTTTTCCTCTGGTCCTTTGTACCCACTTTTCCTCTGGTCCTCTATACCCACTTTCCCCTGGTCCTTTCTACCCACTGTTCCTCTAATCCTCTGTACCCACTGTTCCTCTGGTCCTTTGTACCCACTGTTCCTCTGGTCCTCTGTACCCACTGTTCCTCTGGTCCTCTGTACCCACTGTTCGTCTGGTCCTCTGTACCCACTATTCCTCTGGTCCTCTTTGCCTACTGTTCCTCTGGTCCTTTGTACCCACTGTTCCTCTGGTCCTCTGTCCTTACTGTTCCTCCGGTCCTCTGTACCCACTGTTCCTCTGGTCCTCTGTACCCACTGTTCCTCTGGTCCTTTGTACCCACTGTTCCTCTGCTTCTTTGTACCCACTCTTGCTCTGGTCCTCTCTACCCATTGTTCCTCTGGTCCTATGTACCCACTGTTCCTCTGGTCCTCTATACCCACTTTTCCTCTAGTCCTCTGTATCCACTGTTCCTCTTGTCCTCTGTACCCATTTTTCCACTGGTCCTTTGTACCCACTGTTCCTCTGGTCCTCTGCACCTACTGTTCCTCTGGTCCTATGTACCCACTGTTCCTCTGGTCTTCTGTACCTACTGTTCCTCTGGTCCTTTGTACCCACTTTTCCTCTGGTCCTTTGCAGCCACTTTTCCTCTGGTCTTCTGTACCCACTGTTTCTCTGATCCTCTGTACCCACTGTTCCTCTCGTCCTCTGTACCCACTGTTTCTCTGGTCCTCTGTACCCACTGTTCTTCTGGTCCTCTGTACCCACTGTTCCTCTGGTCCTCTGTACCCACTGTTCCTATCGTCCTTTGTGCCTACTGTCCCTCTGGTCCTTTGTACCCACTTTTCTTCTGGTCCTTTGTATCCACTGTTCCTCTGGTCCTCCGTACCCACTGTTCCTCTGGTCCTCTGTACCCACTGTTCCTCTGGTCCTCTGTACCCACTGTTCCTCTGGTCCTCTGTGCCCACTGTTCCTCTGGTCCTTTGTACCCACTGTTCCTCTAGTCCTTTGTACCCACTGTTCCTCTGGTCCTCTGTGCTTACTGTTCCTCTGGTCCTTTGTACCCACTGTTCCTCTGGTCCTTTGTACCCACTGTTCCTCTGGTCCTCTGTGGTTACTGTTCCTCTGGTCCTTTGTACCCACTGTTCCTCTGATCTTTTGTACCCACTGTTCCTCTGGTCCTCTGTGCCTACTGTGCCATCAATTATCTGGTGGAAAAACACTTTCTATATACAGGTGACTGGTAGCACCACCCGCGTTACAAAGAAAGTCACCAAAACGATCATGACTAAAACACCACACGAGTACATACGGGTAACATACGAGTAACATGCGAGTAACATACGGAACATACGGATACATACGAATACTTACGATTATCATGCGATTAACATACAACTAACATACGAGTAACATACGGGTACATACGAATACATACGAGTAAATATACGAAAAAATACGAATAAATTTTTATGCAAAGTAACGACAACTTAAGTAAAATATAACATGAGAGAGCAAAAGATATTTGATATTTACTAGTCATGTATTACTTCCCCGACTAAGGAAAGATTGCGTTACAAGACCAAAGATCCTTGATATTAAACTGGTGGCCTGGGGTCATGCCACAGTTAGTTACATCTACATCGCGGTTCCTTCCTAAACTGTGCCATCTGTAAATCAGTATTACGCTCTTCAATCTGTTCAGTGCACAGTAAAGATTGAACGCGTGAAGACCATCCACTACGCGACAGGCCAATTTTCAGTGCACATCGGATTACCTGACGTGACCCCAGGCCACCAGTTTAATATCAAAGATCTTTGCTCTTGTAACGCAATCTTTCCTTAGTCGGAGAAGTAATGCGTGACGAGCAAATATCTAATATTTTTTGCTCTCTCGTGTTATATTTTACTTAAGTTTTTGTTACTTTGCATAAAAATTCACTCGCATGAATTTTACTCGTATTTTTTCGTATTTTTTTTACTCGTATGTCTTCGTATGTATTCGTATGTACCCGTATGTTACTCGTATGTTAGTTGTATGTTACTCGCATGTTACTCGTATGTATTCGTATGCATCCGTATGTTCCGTATGTTACTCGTATGTTACTCGTATGTTACCCGTATGTACTCGTGTGGTGTTTTAGTCATGATCCACCAAAACGGCGTTAAAATGGCCATTGGCGACAAAGCAGCTACGGAATAAGGTAAGACTTTACGCGTTACATTTCTCGCTTTTATTATCCTTTTTTTTTATGATTTTTCCTCTTTTTTAACGGCCCACGCTTGTGCTTAAAATTCGATCTTGATATGTTAGGTATTCCCGTTAATGACCCTTAGACCCCAAAATCACACACAGTACGCTTGGGTTGCCTCTGGTTAACGTGCGCCTCGAAATTTGAAATGGCTTCATTTTCTGAGATCACCCGTGTGTTTCGATGACATGAAGATTGGCTGGTAATTAAGAAAATGAATAT